ATGGGACACGACTTCCTAGGAATTACCTTCCTAACAACGATTGGCATGACTTCCTAGGAATGAGCCTTCCTGGCAACGTGGGACCTAAACTTCTAGAAATAAACTATCCCAGCAACAAGAAACCAGATCAAAAAAGGGAGGAAAAAGCAACCTGAAGCCAGGAACACATATTCCTTTTAAAATGCTTTCTCCAAAGTATTTTAAAGAAAAAACAGGGGAAATGTAAACGGAAATTAAATTTTAGGACCCCCAAAACTCATGTAGCCAAAGGGAAAAATCAAACTGGGAACTGGGTCATGCAAACCTGCCTCCCTTTTTGGTTTCTCAATAAGTTGGCTACAAGATGAAAAGCTACACACCTCCCCCATATTTTGCCCACAAAGAAATTCCTAGTGAGTTGTTGGTTTCATCATGGCAATGCAAATTGATAGCTTATCTTTACAGTGCAGCTACCCCCCAACCCCCTAACCCACCAGACATAACTGCATATCTGACTACATCTGCCCCATTGTGTCTATGTTATTTCATGTAAAATGCAGATTCCCCACATTTTTCCTCTGCCCCTTTTGTTTATGTCATCTTTATGTTGTTGTTTGTTTTTTATTTAGTTTTATTTCATATCATAAACTGAACTCTGCAATCCAGCTAGGCATGGAAGGGAACAAGGAAAACATGGAACCCAAAAGGAACTGCAGTGAGAGTACGAAGATTCTAGGACACTGCAAGCAAATGGGATGGAGGATGCTCTCCTGAGCTACAGAAGGAATGGTCTGTTAAGATAAAACACAAGTCAAACTTTAATAAGTTCTCCGCAGTCAGCAATGGTGATCTTCTTGCTAGTCTTGCCATTCCTGGACCCAAAGTGCTTCATGGCCTCCACAAGATTCATGCCTTCTTTCACCTTGCCAAAGACCACAAGCTTGTCATCCAACCACCCAGTCTTGGCAGTGCAGATGAAAAACTGGGAACCGTTTCTGTTGGGTCCAGCAATTGCCATGGACAAGATGCCAGGACCTGTATGTTTTACAATGAAGTTCTTGTCATCAAATTTCTCCCTGCAGATGGACTTGCCACCGTGCCATTACGGCATGTGAAGTCACCACCCTGACACATAAACCCTGGAATAATTCTGTGAAAGCAGGAACACTTATAACCAAATCCTTTCTCTCCAGTGCACAGAGCACAAAAGTTTTCTGCTGTCTTTGGAAACTTGTCTCCAAATAGCTTGGAGGAGATACAGCCCAAGGGCTCGCTGTTGACGGTGATATTGAAGAACACGGTGGGGTTGACCATGGCTGATAGTACAGGGCTCCTGGCAATGGCAGCATCTACAAAGTGGCCATTTATGTCATCTTATATAAAAAAATGCAGATTCACTAAACCAGACAAAGGCATGAATGACTATTTTCCCCTACTTCCCTCATACATGAAAATTGTATACTTCTCAACATCCCACCCTTTCCCCTTTAAATTTGGAGTCCTCAAAATCATCTTCGCAGAAAGGCACAGACCTGTCTCCCAGGCATGTCTTTAACTTTGGCAAATAAACCTCCTACAGTTATTGGGACTTAGCTCATCATTTTTCTCAATTGACAAAACATTAAAAAAATAATACAGACGGGACCTAGCCTGCCCCACGCCCAGTGGAGAGCAAAGTTTCCTTCTATTTTCATAGCCAACCAGAACAACGTTCTATGCACATTTTGTCCTCAGTAAGAGGGCCTCTGGCCAAAATTTGGCTAGTGGCCCATTGGGATAAGAAGCTAACCAAAGCTCATGTGTTTCAGTGTAATTTAGAGAGCAGTGTGGAGAATATCATCTCACCAAAGGTGAAGATGGCATTACAGACATGAGGATATCTTTTTCTGGGACTAGTTTGAACAGGAAAACCAAATACCTTCTTTCAGACTGTAATGAAGCATTCATTAAGATAAAGATGGCTTTCTGGACAGGTGTTGTTGACCTGAGAAAAATTGGGGAGGAGCTTATAACGCTATTACTTTACTTGAAGAATTTCATGACTTTGAACAACCGTTGCCTGACTTAGATAACATTGATGAGGCCCAGGAGTTCAGCTTGGATCAGAGTAGAGTGGAAGAGATAAACATGAGAGAAGAAGTTGGGAATATCAGTATGTTACAAGAAAATTATTTTGGTGATTTTTGGAATGGATGATCGTGAGATAATGAAAGAAGGCAGTGCTTTTGTGGATGATGACATGTTAGTAAGCCCTACTGCTTCTAACCTCATATTAGCATCTGAACAGAGCATCAGCAATCTGAATGAGAAAATTAACCATTTAGAATATGAAGACCAATATAAAGACAACAATTTTGGAGAAGGAAATGATGGTGGAATATTAGACGACAAACTTATTAGTAATAATGATGGTGGTATCTTTGATGATCCCCTGCCCTTTCTGAGGCAGGGGTGATGTTGCCAGAGCAGCCTGCACATGATGATATGGATGAGGATGATAATGTATCAATGGGTGGGCCTGATGGTCCTGATTCAGGATCCTGTTGAACCAGCCAACTATGATCAAACAACACCTGTTACAAATGAGGAAGAAGCATTTGCATTGGAACCTATTGCTGTAACTGTTAAAGAAACAAAAGCCAAGAGGAAGAGGAAGCTAATTGTTGACAGTATCAAAGACTTGGATAGCAAGATAATCAGAGCCCAACTTAGTGATTATTCTGATATTGTTACTACTTTGGGTCTGGCACCACCTACCAAGAAATAGGTGATGTGGAAAGAGACAGGAGGAGTAAAAAAAACTGTTTTCTTTACCTGCTCAGCCTTTGCGGAATAACATACTACTGAAGTTCTTTACATGCTGTCTTACACCACTTGTACCAGAAGACCTTAGAAAAAGGAGGAAAGAAGAGACAGATAATTTGGAGGAGTTCCTCAAAGAACTTGAAAATCCAGAGGTTCCTAGAGAGGACCAGCAACAGTTACACCAGCAGCATGATGTTATCGATGACCCTATTTTGGAAGAGCCAAGCCGCCTCCAGGAGTCAGTAATGGAAGCCAGCAGAACAAACCTGGACGTGTCAACTATGCCTCCATCACCACCTCAGGGAGTTAAGCAAAAAGCTGGACAAACTGACCCAGAGCCTGTGATGCCTCCTCAGCAGGTAGAGAAGAGGAAATACTGCCTGTAGAACTTCCCCTAGAAGAACCTCCAAATATCTGTCAGCTAATACCAGATATCTGTCAGCTAATATACCAGAGTTAGAACTTCTGCCAGAAAAAGAGAAGGAGAAAGAAAAGGAAAAAAAAAAAAAAAAAGATGATGATGAAGAGGAAAAGGATGAAGATACTCCAGGGGGTAATCAAGATCAGGAAGAAAGAAGATGGAAGAAAAGGACTCAGCAGATGCTTCATGGTCTTCAGTGAGCTCTTGCTAAAACGGGAGCTGAATCTATCAGTTTGCTTGAGTTATGTCAAAACACAAACAGAAAACAAGCTGCCACAAAGTTCGACAGCTTCTTAGTTCTTAGAAAGCAGCAAGCTATTGAGCTGACGCATGAAGAACCATACAGTGACATCATCCCAACACCTGGACCAAAGTTCCATATTTTATGAAGAGCTAGATGCATTATAGCTAGTGTTCATTTCATTAGTGCTTACAAATTGCCCTCATGTGTAGGGTATAGAGAACCCTTTGAGAAAACAAGATTTTTGTCTATACAAAATATTTGCCTTTTTCTTTCTTCATTTTTTTCTAGTATGTTAAATTTGTCAATTTCATCTTTGAGGGAAAGTGATTAGATAGGTTGTTTGTGTTCTGATGGAGAAAACAGCACCCCAAGGACTCAGAGGATTATTTTAACAGTTCAGAACAGATGTGTGCAATATTGGTGCACGTAATAATTTTGAGTGGCAGTTGAAAGTCATTTTTATCTTAGTTCATTACTGCATTAAACAGGAAAACCTGTCTGAGAAAATGCCTGACAGTTTAATTTAAAACTATGGTATGAGTCTTCGACGAGAAAAAAAAAGCCTTTCCATCAGTAGCACTGGCAATCTTCTTGTTAACCACTCTCCTTAGAGATGGTACCTGAAGTAACAATTCATCCTCTTGAGATTTGTTTTAAGTGTAATATCCTGATGAGCAAAGATGTAGGTGAAATTGTATTGTGACTGATAGCCTTCAGCTACGAAAAGATAGGACTCACTTGGTTTAAAGTGTTCTATTTTGTAAATCATTCCATTTGAGTCTTTCTGATGAACTTGGCTATCCCCAAAATCTGTCATTTTACTGAGGCTCCAAAATGAGCAGAAATAGGCCTGATTAGAGTAGAGCAACGATCAAAAAACATAACTTTCTAGAAGCTATAAATCAAAGTTTTAAAAAGATGTTTGGATATATTTGAGTATTCAGATCATGAAGACAGAAAGTGCCCTGCCTACTACAAGGACAGACTGATGGGAAATTACATACCAGGTCAACTTAACCTTTAAGCAGACAATGCTGTAAAAACTAATGGCTTCTCTGATATTTTTTATAAGTTTTAGTACTGATCTCCTCTTCCAGTGCTGCACACTCCTGTGTTTGGAACTTTAATAGCTTTGCAATGAAATCCTATATCCAGTTTACTGTAATAAACTGAAGAAAAACACATCCAAATAAAGGTCTATATTAACAGATCAGATAGCATCAGAAATCATGTGACTATTATGATTATCAGAATATGTCTTAACTTTCTAGGGCAAAATTGACACTGAAAGTTCTAGCTTAAATGTTGACACTTGTGGGGAAAAAAATCACTTGAAACTCAGACTTCAGTATATACCCCACAATTTAAAATTATGTGAAATGTTTTAAATTTGTAAACTCATAATTACTGTCTTAATGATTCAGTTTCCTGAGAGTTTAATTGTAAAAAAAATTCTATTGCAGCTTTATTTTCAATATGATGTGCCTGTAAACCATGGAGTTTTCCGCATTTGTAAAAAGACAATGTAGATAATTGAATGTTTGATTTTAGAAAGGTCATTAGTTTCTTGATACACATTTTGTTAGTCTGGTTTTTGTTGCTTTTGGGTTAAATACTGTTCTTGAAAATAGTTGATGCTATTTTATGTATAACTTTTCCAATAAAAGTTGTGTTATAAGCTGTAAAAAAAAAAAAACTATTGTAGACTGGCTACATTAACTTTATACGAAGTCTTAAAATGTCAAAGTTCTACAGCAACCAAGCAAACACCTAATCAAGAAAAAGGCACAATCAGATGGTAAGACATTTTGTGAAATTTTTACTCGACTGTAGCCCATCCTTCCCTCCTGGCACACCTGAGGAAGCAGCAGCCCTGCTGCTAATTCTCTCCCTGGAACCCCAGAGAGGAGAGTGGACTTTACTTGCAACATTCTAACCTGTCAAGGGGCTGCATGAGGTACCGGTCTCTGTTTTACCTAATTCAGAGCTCAGACAGGGAAAAGGAGCATGGCTGGATCCTCAGGCTCAGGAAAAGCCACAGGAAATGGTGGGCACTACTCATGAACACTGCAAGAGGTCTACAAACTCACAGACACCTGGAGCAAGAGATCAGAGGTAGAGGAATACAATAGAACATCTAAGCCCAACCTCAGAGAAGCAGGGGTGAGGCTCTTTAGGAAATTCAGACATTTGTAAGCAGTTGTGCATTCAAGGGAATTGGGGAAAAAAAAAAAAAAAAAACAGGCCAAGGCAAAGTGTATAGCCAGAACAGAACTAAGAAGACCTTAAGACCTCACATGGGGCTGATCCCAAAGCTGACAGCCTGCCCTGCTAATTAGTGAAGTTTCTTTATCCACTTGTTGATTGATGGGCATTTGGCTTGGTTCCACGATTTTACAATTGTGAATAGTGCTGCTATAAGCATGCATATGCAAGTTATCTTTTTTGAATAAGGACTTCTTTTCCTCTGGGTAGATATCCAGTACTGGGATTGCTGGATCAAATGGTAGTTCTATTTTTAGTTCTTTAAGAAATCTCCACACTGTTTTCCATAGTGGCTGTACTGGTTTACATTCCCACCACCAGTGTAAAAGTGTTCCCTGTTCACTGCATCCAACAACAACATCTACTGTTTTTTTGATTTTTTGATTATGTCCATTATTGCAGGAGTAAGGAAGTATCACACTGTGGTTTTCATTTGCATTTCCCTGATCATTAGTGATGTTGAGCATTTCTTCATGTTTGTTGGCCATTTGTATATCTTCTTTTGAGAATTGTCTATTCATGTCCTTAGTCCACTTTTTGATGAGATTGTTTTTTTTTCTTATTGATTTGAGTTCATTGTAGATTCTGAAAATTAGTCCTTTGTCAGATGTATAGATTGTGAAGCTTTTCTCCCACTCTGTGGGTTGTCTGATCACTTTGCTAACTTACTTTTGCTGTTGAAAAGGTCTTTCGTTTAATTAGGTCCCAGCTATTTATCTTTTTATTGCATTTACTTTTGGAGACTTGGTGGTCATGAAATCCTTGCCTAAGCCAATGTCTAGAAGGGTTTTTCCAATGTTATCTTCTAGAATTTTCATAGCTTCAGGTCTTAGGTTTAAGTCTTTAATCTATCTTGAGTTGATTTTTGTATAAGGTGAGAGATGAGGATCGAGTGTCACTCTCCAAAATGTGACTAGCCAATTACCCCAGCACCATTTGTTGAAAAAGGTGTCCTTTCCCCACTTTATGTTTTTGTTTGCTTTGTTGAAGATCAGTTGGTTTCAAGTATTTGGGTTATTTCTGGGTTCTCTATTCTGTTCCATTGGTCTAAAT